CAACCATTGCAACCATTGCAAGCAATGCACCCACTGCGCCCAATGGACCTACTGCAACCACTGCACCCATTGCAACCACTGCAACCATTGCAACCAATGCACCCACTGCGCCCAATGCACCTACTGCAACCACTGCAACCATTGCAAGCAATGCACCCACTGCGCCCAATGCACCTACTGCAACCACTGCAACCATTGCAAGCAATGCACCCACTGCGCCCAATGCACCTACTGCAACCACTGCAACCATTGCAACCATTGCAAGCAATGCACCCACTGCGCCCAATGCACCTACTGCAACCACTGCAACCATTGCAACCAATGCACCCACTGGAACCGTCACGGCTATTTTGGCAGGATTACGGTTGGAATCACTTCCGCATTTGAGAAACGAAAATCGTGTAGGGAAAACCCTTTCACCTAACAGCCAATCACAGTGCGTCTTCCGAGCACTGCGAGATTACCCCAAAATCCGCCATATTTGGGGTAAAGTCTGCCCTCTTGAAAGATGCTAGACAATTCAAACAACGTGAAAAGCAACTTTTAAAAGTTGTAACTGTAAATTTACCATTATACAAACAACTACAATAATAAAAAGTCGCATTTCATGGTGTGGAGACTCTCAAACGTGGAAGAGGTGTTGGGTTTTGGGGTGCAGCCATTTAAGGTGGCTCCCTACAGTTATTCTTGTTTAAGCAATAATTACGTAAAACAGGCTTATTCGTGCAGAACGCGAATTCTTTTCGATTTGGTGGCAATATTGGTCACCTAAGGAATATTTTGAACTAGATTTCGACGATGTCAATGTTCCCATGGCAACATGACGACAGCATAAAGCCTTCCAATTTAACCCATAAATGTGCCGCTATCTCAAAAACGATGTCGGTGACCTATCTTTTTTATTTCATATATCAATAAGGAATGATGCTCTGCAGCTGTGGTGAAAGTTAAAAAAAATTCTGTAGTGTGTGATTTTTTTAAAAGCGAAAAATTTATTGCGAAATTTCCACACTACAGATTTTTTTAAAATTTGAAATTTATAAAATTTACCGCAGAATAAACTCGTGGTCAAAATTTGAAGATAGGTCACCGATGAAACTAATGAGTAAAATGCAAATAAAGTTAGAAAATAGCCTCGTGTAACTCGAGAAATTCCCCTATTGAAAAGCGTCGCTGACTAGTAAAAGATTGTACGCGGGCGCAGAACGAGTTTTCATTTGGAAAAATCGAGCCGCAATGTTGTTTTTACTGTTTTGTTTTTGTCAACTTTTCGATTTATTTGAGTGCTATGGACAGCCAAGGATTATTGTGAAGGATTAAATCGATGAAAACAAGGTTGAAGCTAATTGAATCCTGCCGTTTACTCAATCTATGAGCAGTAACAGCTAATTAACAGGTGGACGTGTTTTTTTGTTTCATGTTTGGTTTTGTACTTTTTGCTAAAAATGAACAATTAGGCTATGAAGCAGAAATATTTTTCTGTTTACATATAATCACTTTAATCTTGTAGAAACAAGACTAAAAACGTGACCGTTTTCTTGAGAAGTAAACAACTTTTTAAACGTTTGTATGCAATTTTGCAAATGTTTTAATACAGTTGAGTCAGTTCACAGTGTATAAAAAAATTAAAAAATATTGTTTCGTAGCTATTTTTTGGTCTACTGATATTCGTATCATATGTAGAATTGCTGTATAGACTCGCAAGTGATTTGGCACTCAAAACGAAGTATTATTCAACGCTTTTTTCCATTGTAAATTTTTTATTTGTTTTGATCATGCAGTTGCGTGGGATAGTTCACGTACTTGTCCCGCGAACATCCCGCACGGAACTGTAGGGAGCCTCCTTAACAACCTGACACGACAACTTTAGTGTTCAACAGTTTTATTCACTCTGACTTTACATAACGAAATTACATCTATATACTAGAAGTAATCACAGATTAGTGATGTGCGTTCGAATTGTGTGATTTTTTGTTAACAACACGGTAACATTCTAAAGATGACAATATACAACATCACTATATCCCTAGCTATTCATTTCAAACTCTCAATAAGATTTTCATCCGATCTTTCCACTTTCATCAGGGACACAATCCCACAACATTTACACACCTAACCCACTCCAAACTTCCCAAACCTACAGCACTGTTGAAAACTAACACAATCCACTATCCTGAACAGCAATCCAGACCTAACCCAATCCTACCGGAATTTTAACCCCAAACCACATTCCAACCCATGTACACCCCATCAACTAACCCTCCCCAACTAAGCGGTTATCATTTTATGTTTCGCTCACTAATATAGTAAAACGTCATGTAATATAAATATAGTATAATATACTATAATACACTATACACGTCATACACACTATATACACTATACACACTATACACCCTATACAGCCTATATACACTATACACACTATACACCCTATACAGCCTATATACACTATACACACTATACACGCTATACATCCTATACACACTATACACCCTACACATCCTATACACACTATACACCCTATACACGCTTATACATCCTATACACACTATACACGCTGTACATCCTATACACACTATACACCTTATACCCACTATACACGCTATACACACTATACCCACTATACACGCTGTACATCCTATACACCTTATACCCACTATACACGCTATACAGCCTATATACACTCCAGATGATCTTGATACGCGGAAAAGTACTGGCACTAGTTGTCAAATAGAAATCCATTTTATGATTAAAACAACTGAATATCTCCTGTAATATACATTATTTCGATTCCATATTGTTGTCAGAGCTATAGTTCTCATAACCAAACATAATTACAAAATTTCAACTAGTTTCATAAAGAATAATGAAAGATATAATTGACTGAATACATCAAAATGGATTTCTATTCGGACAACCCTTTCTGAGCGCTGATTGGCTAAAATACGAACACGAGATCACCTGGTATATATGTGTGGAATGTATGGAATTATGTTCCTGTGTCATCTTCTCTAATCGTATCTCTTTATATAATCATATTAATTACTAACAGTCGATCATCAGAATATTATAGAGCATACTTTAACAAGAGGCAGTCCCCACAAAATGGCGGGAAAATCGGCCGTGAGAACGGCTAATTAGCCGTTCTAATTAGCCTTTCTAATTAGCTAATTAGAACGGCTAATTAGCTAATTATAACGACTAATTAGCTAAAATTTATGTAAATGAACATGATTTCTCATCGCATATATTCGTTTTAAAAATAATATTAAATCCACAATAAAAGAGTCAGGAAGTTTATTATTTAATATTTCATAAACCATAGCCTATCGAAGGGAAGATGGCTGTGAAACTCGTTAGAATAACAATATAACTCATTATCTATGTTAGTCAACTTTTATTCATAAATCTAGTCGTTTCACCGTCACGTGTGTATTGTATTTTTACCAAATCCACCAATAGCAATTTCCAGTTTCCCTATTGTTCGAGTCACGGATAGGTGACTTTCCTAAAACATTGCTATTGGTTAGTTGGGCAAGAGTACAATACACACGTGACGGTGAAGGACCAGATTTATGAATAAACGTTGACCAACATAGATAATGAGTTCTACCAAACCGTAGTTACGTACTTCCGGTTAACATGAGATGCACGCTGTGTGTTGCCATGAGTCAGTACAAGTTGTGTAGCCGTGAGACGAAGACGTTTACTTACTTGGTTGACTATTTATAATTGGACGCGAGTGTTGGGAACTTTTCAGGTAATTATTTTCCAATTCCTTTGCTTTATTTGTGTTTATGCTTCAGGTTGTTTAGGTATTTATCGAATCGATGAAGTAAAGCCCTTACGACAAGTCGACAATCGTTTGAATAATGAATTTTGTATAACATTGCACAATTTCATAGTCGTATATATTCGTCGTTTTAACGACGTTTTGGGAAAGAAAGTTTTAGTTTCCCATTGCAAAATCTATAAAGGGAAAGAAAGTTATAGTTTCCCTGCGTCTATTTACCACATTTGAGGCTATATTTGCCGCTTGAAGGGAAGAAAGTTATAGTTCCCTTGTAGACGCGTACCAATGAAGCGTGACAAATACGCCATACTATTATACATGGTGAATATTAATTCATTTCAGCTGTGAATATGACTGACCAAACAAACACGGAACAATCTGTTGATTTGACCACAGATAATACGACTGATTTAAAAGAGTCGATGGCTTCAATGATGTCTGAAATGATGTCGGTCATGAAAGACGATATGCTCAGACAGTTTGAGGAGTACTTTGCCGCTCCTGAGCCTGAGGCCAACACTGGTGATGTTGAGGCAAATAGTGATCAACCCTCACCCGATGTGTC